GATTTAGAATGTATTGTCACGTAATCCTGACTACCATATCTTTCTTGAAAAAATGCTGTGAAAAGACGGTGCCATTAAATTGTGGTTTAAACTCAGTGTTCTGTATGATTAGAAATGAATTGTTATCTTGACCGCGCGTTTTAAAGCAGTACTGTTGGTAACGTTACCTTACATATAGGGGCACGTTGTATAGGGGCACATTACATATAGGGGCGAGGGGGAGGGGTGGGGTGGTATATGACGTTTGCTTCATCTTGAATGCAGATTCGATAAAAGCAATAACACTGTTCTATGATACTGCTATTGTAGTTTAGTTTTAACCATGTCTTCCGAATTTTGATGTTATTTTGAAATTTCTCAGCGAAATTGAAAATCATATTGTTCAATACGCAACGTGCTTGATATCCGTATTTAATAGTAAGCAACGGAAGAAAAGTATTAGGCTTCATATTTATTGTTGTAATTTAAAGACATTATTGTTTAAATTAAATTTTATCAAAATGAGTGAAGTTTAATAATGTAATGCATTATTTTATATTGACCCGTTTAGACATTTTTATTTACCAGAGCAAACGCAATTAATCCGAGAGTTTCTGAAAAAAAAAGAGTTCAAAATCTGTCACTATAGCAGAACTGTCTTTGAATCACCATTGTTACTGAGAGTGATCGCTGTTAAATTTGTTTAAATTTCGTTTCATGTAAATATTCTTGTTTAATGTAAACTATTTATTGTATGCACGGCTCCATGCTGACCGTGCCTGTAATTCAGATCCTGCGATAGGCACGAATAAACATAAACATAAACAAACGGTGCAACTGTACATACCAAATAGTGCTATCTCGTTGTAGTAAATCGTGCATGCAGTGACTTAATCATCCCAAACACAAATACCATGGTTGAAAGATGAATGTCAAGAATGATAATAAAATAACGACTGAACTTCGTGGGTTGCACTTCAACGATAATGGTTGTAAAATAAAGACACAAGACGCATTTCTAGTAAATCATAATAAAGACACAGCACGCATTTCCAGTGGATTAGGATTCAAATTAAATTGATACAAATGAAGCACTCAATACCGTCTTGTCCACTTTTAGTACAAATTAGTTATTATTTATCGGACACTATTCACCGAATTTCACAAAATAGTACAAAGAGGTTAATTAACTCTAACAGCAAAGATAGAAAAGCAATACTATTCAGACTATTCTTTGATGATACAACTGTCAAATTGCTAAAATATGTACTAACATTCTTTTAATATATATGTTTTCTTAATAGAGTACAAACACTAAAACTGTGCAACATAAATAGACCACTAAATACTGCTAATTCTATAGTTTTCTATTTTTAAATTAACACTATTTTGTAGTAAATAGTCAGAAAGTGTTGCACACATTTAATGTTTGTACTCTAACATTTTACAGTCACTACGGGTATTTTTAATTATATTACCTTACATTTAGGGGCACATTACATATAGGGGCATATTACATATAGGGGCGAAGGGGAGGGGAGGGGTGGTGATGGTTACGTTACCTTACATGTACAACAACAACAACAAACAAATTTTACATATAGGGGCATGTTACCTATAGGGGTTAAGGCGATGGAGGGTGATGATGGTTACGTTACCTTAAATATAGGGGCATGTTACGTATAGGGGCACGTGACCTATAGGGGCGAGAGGAAGGGAGGGTAGGTGAATACACCACGTTACATTTAGGGGCGAGGGGGGAGGTAGCGAAGGGTTACGTTCCGTTCCGTTGATATTTTAATGTATTTGAGTCAGGACCACCACCATCTTGAGCCCGTTGAGACCGTTGTTGACGACAAGGAGAAGAATGCCAGGAAAAGGCACAGTTCATTCGTATATTATTTATTGATATTATAAGGTATTTGAAGAAGACGAGAGCGCACCACCATCTGGAGCCCATTGAGGACAAGGAGGAGACTATGTCAGGAAAAAGTGCAGTTAGTGTAGCACTATCTGTAGATCTTTGATGATATGTAGAAGAATGCAAAGAAAATAAGGAAAGCTTGGTTGGATTGATTGTCAGTTGCTGTTGTGCTACACAAATTTTGTACTTTGATTGATTCATTAAAGTAATTAAGCAACTTTTGCATTGACAACCTCATGTSGTTGCAAATCAAAAGAATTGTACGGCGATGCTAGCTCATGTCTTTGTTCTTCATTACCATCTTTAAAAGAGAGTTTGTTGTTCTGTTACGAGGCGCTATGCTGAAATTTAAGATGACATTTAAAATATAGGAAATTTAATATTTAGCTTAACTTTAAACATTACAAGTGGATTAGTTACGAGACGCCATTCTGACATTTTGTAGGACTTCTAGGTAATAGCAAAGTAAACGTTACAAGTGGATTAGGGAAGGCCAAGGCTAGGTATGGGTGGTCGCGCTTGGAACGAAGATCGGCCAGGATCGGGAGTCGCCGTAGTTCACGCGCCCAACCATGCCCAGCCTGGCAAATAGTATAAATCACGAATAATGGTAAAATAGATGCTTTAAGAAAGTATTTGTAGANTACATTACAAGTTTTCCGTCTTCTTTCGTTATGAACGACATGTGATGGAGATAAATTTGATGAATAAGGATTTGCGCCTCAGCACGGAAGGGACTTCGAACGTTCAACTGTTCAAGTCATGGGATAAAAAAGCTGATCAGCATCTGACCTGTGTCACTCAATTTCGTAATAGTATATCTTTGTGTTCGGGGAAATAATATTTAGATTCTTGTAATCTGAGATATTTTACATAACTCATGAGTTTTCCCTGACAGGTCTATTCGCAAATCTTCGCTCTGATTGGCTGAGAATGCTAACTAGATTTCAGCGCTCCCATGGAATGATCACAAGACCCTGACATACACAGCTAAAGTCTTCATTTAGCTGTCATTGTCATAGGAAGTTGCGTGGATAGCAGAGTGGCTAAATTTGGGGAAATTCACGATAAATTTTATTACTTTGAAGAATACCTTTTGGGAAGGACCCAATCTTCAGAACTGCTATCCAAGGAGCGAGAAAAAAAGCCCTTCTATTATATTATTCTTTGAGTTGAAAGCTACAGTTCAAAGTTTAAAACAGTTAAAGGGAGATACAATCTTTAGGATACTTGCTTAGTGGTTTTTAAAAGAGAAGAAAGAAAGACTCATTTGAACAGTAGATGAACTCTCAATTCATAATGGGAAGATTAAGAGAGAATTCCGATGCTATTCTCAAAGATGGATACCTCTTGAAACAGGGAGACGTTATCAAAGTACAATGGCACCTCAGGTACTTTGTACTGACCAAAGAATGCCTCTGTTACTACAAGACCGAAGACGATTCAGATAACGARGTTCCAAGAGGCGTCATSTTCTTCAACGACATGTCACTATTCGTGGACGACGTTCCATGCGAAAAGTCCAGAACAAAATATTGCTTGAAGATCGTCAAGCGTTCCACGAATAGCTCAAATCGGACTCTTGTACTCTCGACTTTCTGCGAAGAGGATAGAAATGATTGGCTCGCTCAGCTGCTCCTCGCGAAAGCTATGGCTTTGGTTTGCGATCGTTCTTGGATGGGAGGCAACGACCCTGAGGTAAAGATTCCAAGATCGAAATCAACGTCGGGTAACTATRCGGACAAGCTAACTACAGCAAAGCAAGCCATCAAGCGCTGCGGAAGRCGTTTATCGGGCTCAAATCGAGGGGAATGTAGTTTTGAGGAAATACGATCAAAGACGAATTACCTGGCATGGCGACATACAATGATAGACTTGACAGTTATCTAGTTGYCGGCAATTTTTCACCGGTGATAAAACATTGCAGAAGAGAGCTGTAAGGACCTTGCTGACCTGGAATGTGTTCTAATGGCCTATAAAATGAATCATAGTGCGAAAGTATACATTATGTAACAGACAATTATACACGTGAGAGAACATGGATTTTTATCATGAAATAATTATTCCACGATTGTACATCTGTGCACAATAAGWAATCATTATAAAAYACTTCAGAGCCCGTCGTAAGGGCGCCGAATCGTGATTCAAGATCAGAGARACTATTGTATGCATAATGATTGGTTGTTTGGGTTGTGTTCGTTTGGTTGTATATTTATWTTATATTATTTAAGATAGCTGTAATATCAGATATCGTTAAGTTGTGAAATACAAAATCACAGACAGRGCGAAACAGAAAGACTTTGTAAAAACATTTAATCTTCAGCGAAGGGAATTCCCCACAAAAAACCTAGGWGTGACATAATTGGTCACTTTTAAAAACATTTAAATTTCCAGTAAAAACGAAAACGCACAATGCGCAATATTAAGATTTGAATGTTCAGTTCGGCAGGGAATTCCCCTCAAAAACCTAGGTATTAGTCATTGTTCACTTTCAAGTATTCAAAAGTTAAAGACAGGATTTATGTGAATAATACCTYTAAATAAATTGTACAAAATGTACATTTAAGATAACTCCATTCATATACTTTTATTCGTACATATGTATTAGATGGATATGA